TGGGTGCGTTAGAAGACTTTGCAGATACAGCGATAGAATGGTTCTAAAACATTCATACATATGCAGAAATATCAACCACGTTACACCGACTAGGTTTGTCCAAATGTCAAGTCATCAGCTGAGTCATGTCCCTTCTTTTTGATACAGTGGTTAATCACGAAAGCAAACTTTTTGAAGTGGCGTTATTTCATACACTCACAGAAAGGTATTCTGAGTAAATGTATTCATTAAACATGGATCATGTTCCTGCCCAGTATATACTGTACATATATATATTTTTTTACATATCAGCCGCCTTAAAACTATTGCTGCTCCATCTCTTTTTCCTGGAATAATTTTATTGCAACATTCAAGAGGGATTCTGTCTCCCGAGGCTCAGGAATCACAGCTTGTGTTTTGGCAAATTAAGAAGGCCAAAGACTAAATTCATCATGTATGTAAATCTTCTGTGTGTCTGTTCCAGTGTAAATATTTTTGATGAGTTTGTTCCCAAATTAAAACACACTTGGACACAATTCTGTACATTTTTTTTCTAAATTGTGTTGAATTGCAATGGAAAACCCGTTAAAACAAATACTAAACTATTAGTGGATTATGTATCAATAGATTTATGAATTAGGAAATGACATTCTTAACTAAACAAGACTGTAAAATGACAAGTTGTGTATTTGAATGTACCTTTACAGAACAACTTACACCTCAGACTTCCTTTCAGCAGCAACAAGGGTCCAATTTTATTTAGACTTTACTAAGGACTTACCAAACGCGCACTTTCGAATCACTTCCGGGGGACGTTTGTGTTTCAAAGGAAAATCGCAAAATGTAATTTTGACGGTCATTATTGGTTTACTGCATTTTCGTTTTAATTGGATCCACAGAAAACAAAAAAACAAACCAATATTTCAATTTTGCATTAAATTCAAATATTGAGAATCAAAAACATCCCTCGTTATTTGTTTTTTCAATGTTGGTTTTATTTAGAAAATCAAAAGAACGAATGATACACGGATTTTGTAGTTTCTCACAATGAATTGCAAAACAATCAATGATCTATTCATTTTCCAAAGCTCCCTAATATCAAAATTGTAATACTCTTCATAATGCATAGCCCCTGGGTTCTGTCAGTAATTATTTGTCAGGTTCACTTGTTGGAAGTGTTATTACCAACTGCTTGCAGGGGTCGCTCTTCTGCCTCCCCCTCTCTGTCGGGGATGTTTCAGCCAGGTGGGGCGGATTCCGCCTCTTCATCATGTGGGCGTATGCTGGTTTATCATGGCGGCTCACGGCGGGGAGACTAGGGATGTCTTATATATTATGTATTATTATAGTGAGATATAGTTTTAAAATGGTTCCTGTAGATTTTGTAATGACATTTGCCATGGCAACAGCCTTAAAAACCACATTCTCACCAGGTCACAAAGGATGCCGTGTTATTTGTGCTTTAAAGAATTAAAGTGATAATAAGGTTATTTTAGTCTGGACGGGCGGCCTGACTTCAGTACATGTGCGCCACTCGTTGGAGGCAGACGTGTTTTGGCTGAGACCTGACCGTTTAGTGATCAAGAGACCTTAAGAGACCTTGAGAGAACTTTATATGGCTTAATTTGAAACTATTATTTGACTCTAAGTTTTATAAATACATTTCTGCTTTATTCTTTTCTGCTCTAAATAAGAAGGTCATTTAATTTACCATTTAAACCTGGTTTTATGGTACATTCTTTTGGACTTCATGAGCCACGTTTAGAGTTGTATTAATCACAATTCACAGCACAAAAAATACAACAAAATCTCTATCTTTTGCATAATAAAGAAACAAAGTAGACAATACTGTATACTCTAGCGCAACAAATGGCACTAGAGTAAACAATATCTTTACATAACCCTATCCCTCCCATGGGCAGAACCCTGACCCCAGTTCACGTTCACTTCAGCAGGTCCTCACAGCTCACTTTCTGTGCAGGCTGTGATGTGGACATGAGGACCACTATAGCTGTACTAATGAAGCTGTGACTGTATCCGCGTAGGCCACATGCCAGATGTTCCTGACAGCCAATTGAACAGTCCAGAGCCCAGTTTGGATGGCAAAGTGAGAAGCAGGTGTATGTGCGTGTGGATCACTCGTTACACCGACACATCCCATTCTGCAGCCATGAGGCGCTGAGAGGCAGCCAGACCTCTGTGTCAGCCTTATCAGCCCGCATGTCAGACAGGGTCAAATTAACGCTCCATCACTGTCACACCACTCAGAAATAACTCCAACAGTGCTGAAATACTTTTTTAGGTTTTCTATTTTTTTCCTCGTCCCTATCAACTTCATTAGTGCATTGTAAGGTTTAATTAAAAGAACTACAGAGAGGACCCCACTTCAAATTCATCCGACAAGTTTGACCAAGTGGAGAGCAGCAGAAATAGGTGCTCATTGTAATGATTTTTATTTGATCTAGACGAGTCTCTTGCTGAAAATATTATTCCTTTGGCTTTGATCTTCAACAGTAGGATTGACCTTGTTCATCTCCATAAAACAGGTATTGCATTAAAGCTGGGGTACCAAACTTCTTTTAACCACAGACATGTTGTTTGTCTGAATAAAGAGCCTTTTATAAGTTAAATGTGAACCAGTCTGACCACAACATAGATGTTTTGCTATGGACGGAACAGTTACAATGGACAGACCAGATGCACTGCTTTTAGTATTATAACAAAACCATGTTATTTTTAAATTACAAAAGTATTATTTGACATTTTGGACTGAGAACGGATTGGCTAAGCCAGAGTGGTCCTCCAAGTTAGGTACCCCAGCTTTAACACAAGGACTCCCTGAATTCGGAAACTACTAGAACTCCTAGAGCAGTCATTTTGACTGCTCCCCTTCAAAATAATGGAATTCTGGATGGAGACTGCTGCAAGTAAACAGTGTGTTGCTATGGTAACTAGCACTTAAGTTGAGTTTGCTTTGATCCTGTCTAGGACCAAAGACAGAAACAAACACCATAAAGATACAGAAAAGTAACAAAGTTATGGAGACCAAAAACGTACGAGTGTTTACACTTTCAAATCAAAAAGCTGTCATATTGTATGTCTCCAACATTCACCAATGACAGCGACAAGACCTAGCGATCCACAATAAACTAAAAGCCAAGTTGTATATCTTTTTATTTTTTTACGATTGGAAGCGTTGACAGCCGAGACTGCTCTTTGATACTGTTTCCACTATCAAATATTCTTTTTGATTTGCAGACTCCCTGACATGCTGTGCCAACAATAGCTATATCTATTTAATGAAGATACACATGTTTGCCTGAAGCTGTCAAAGAACTAAGATTATCAACATTTTATGAAATACAATTTAGTCACATCAGTTTGACAAAAGTCTATATATTCATTCATATTGACCAGGAGCTCTATAACGCCAAAGTAAAACCTGATAAATCCATCCTGCTGCAGTAATGTGGGTGCGTGAGAGAGGAAAACTCTTTTGCTTTTCTTTTTATATAATCATTTCTCTAAATGAGCACAAAAGTTCATGAATATAACATTCACTTTAAAATACAAGGAACTCAAATAGTGCAAGACTCTGAAATTCTCTAAAGAAAGTCGAAAGTTTCTATTATAAATTGTCCCCAAAGAAACACCTCTCTTAAGAAATCATCAGAGAAGGATATTAGGTGAGGTGTAAAATAACATTCATAGGAGAAACCTTATAGAGCAGTAAAATATATGACGGCACTTGACTGAAATAAGCAAAGCAACTAGAGCAACTTTAATTTACTGGTTGTTCCTTAATGAGTTTGTTCTTCGGGGGAATGTTCAGGTCATTAAGGGAAAATGCATTGTTGCCTTTGTAATGTGCAATGACTTGAAAGCCTAATCGTTTTGTTCAAAGTTTTAGGTGTAATCTACAAAGTTCCAAAAGAGTGCGGCCATTATAGAAAAGGTGAAACGTTAGATTGTGACCTGTAAGTGCAAAGGAAATCTGGAGGTGGTGATTTTTTGATACATTTTGTTGCAATTTTGTCAGCAGGTTATGACTTTTATTGACATGCGTTACTTGGAGTTGCCCCCAGCACATCAACATCTCGAGCAGGGCTGAGAATAGACTGTAAGGGACTTTAAATTACATCTACATATTTTGCTTGTGCCCCCGGATGCTTGGTTAGTGTGTACAAGTCATATTTGACTTTTTCTGAACAAATGTTTAAAGTCAAATGTATTGATTGATGTTTAAAAATACAATAGACTTGACGGCTATAATATTTATGTAGATCCTCCAATCAGAGAGCAGGACAATGTGGGTTGACTGTTGGATGAAATTTAGCTGGTCTTGGCTCCATAATTTTTTTGATAAAAACTAACAATCATTAAAAAAAACACCACATTTGTTTAAATGAAGATTAAGTTTAAGAGATCCCTTCTTCATCCCACTTTGGGGAAATTTCAGTGTTGCATTACAAGTTATAGAACAGTAGGGAAGAGGAGCACACGGCACAAGTTAAGTGAACAATAGCTATACTAATAAAAATAAAACAAAATCTCTAACTTTAGCATCAATAAAAGAATAAAATCTCTATCTTGAAAATAACAGAACATAATAAAAGAGGTGTATGTGTCGCAGAAAAAGTGTGATTGTAATGATTTAATTAGACCATTAAGAGTGCATATTACATAATGGACCTTTAAATTAGGATTGTTTTTCCATTTTGTCATTTTTATTGATTTATGCGTCCTGGACCTGGTGTGTATGCGTGTATTGAAATATTATACTATTCATCCACATGATTGGTGTCTCTCAGTGCTAATGCGTTTGTCGATAATTAAGACTGAGGACATACATTTAAAATGAGCTCTTTTTTATTTTGGCACAGGAGGTATGCTAATCAGATTGCAGAAGTCAAAAGCTTATCATTATAAGACCTGTAGCATATGTGTCGTAAAGTCATGACACTCAGGGTGATTTTCTCTTTCACTAGTCTCAAAATAAATGCTTTATGTTTTTCTTGCAGATATGTGTGACAGCGTCATGGTTACTCACCTGCCCCCATCCTCCTTCAGAAGCTCTTCACAGCTGTCCAACAGCCACAGTCCAGGCTTTGCAAAACTTAACCGGAGAGACGGTGAGCTTCCAAACACTACAAACACATAAAAACCTTTACAATCTTTACAAAATGTATAAATGTTTGTGTGGATTCAGTCAGATCCTACTGATTTCAAAGCGATGACCCATGACGCATGTTTACGAGTTAGGGGTTATGTTTCCCTGGAAAACAGGCCGTGGCCGTCAGTTTCAATAGACTCTGATCTCTCACCCACCTAAATGCATTCTTTACTCAATTGCTCTGTATTCACATTCAACATTTATTAGTTTAACATCAATAAATGATCGCCACATTCTTGTGTCTCTTTTTTCCTCCGGCTGAGCAGAGGCAAAGGGAAGCGCCCTCCTGTTTCACTTTGATGCAGTGTGGGTCACCTCATGATTCACTTCACTGCAGGGAGCACAGCTCACAACTTCAAAGTCAATATGTGCATGAATAGGATACACAGCATCATGGAGCTCATTTTGCATTATACCATAATAGATGCCAAAGCATGTTTAACAGCAATACTGTACAAAATAACACCTGGAAATAATACACATGTCTAAATGTAGCCTTGAAGGTCCCATATAACGTTTTTTGACTTTTCTCTGGTTTAAACATGAGAAACCAGAGAAAAGACACATACAGTGCTATTTGGCCTTCATGCACATGCCCAGAGTTAGTGAACGATCTTTCTCGAGAGGCACAGAAACGAGCTGTTTTAAATCGTGACGTCTACCAATCCGTGACATCAAAATCCCGCCTCCAAGAGGTGATTGACAGCAAGGAGAGACTAGACCAGCAAATCAGCGCCGTCTATGATTAGCTGCATCCAGAGTCCATTGTGTGGTCCATAGACAGTAAATAAACATCTGTACTTTTTTGTGTTAGCTTCATATCGACTTGAAGAAAATGTGTTTTTGTTGTAAATATGTGACGAGAGTATTTGGCCCTAAGACGGAGAACGGGGCGAATGGGGATCGACTCTGTTGACCGGGATCTGCCTCAATAACACAAGTCTGAAATCTGCAAAGAAACTTGCAGATGTTTTGACGGTGACACCACCAAAGACTGTTCCAGGACTGCAGTTACCTTGAAACTGGACCTACTAAAAAGCTGAGCTCGAAATCTGGTGTTATTTCCAACATAAAAGACGCTGACAGGATTCTCGGCCTGTGAGTAGAATGCAACTAACGCGGCGTATGTCACTGTGAACTAAATAATTAGGGTTTGATTCTCGATCGACGGATTACCATTGTTGAAAAAAGTTTATTCTCAGTTCTGAAAAGGCTATATAACAGTGAAAGCTGTACAGTTAGCGCTTGTTTTCCTCCAAGTTAGCAAGAGACTACGTCACTGTGCGGGCGGTGCGGAGGCGGGCGGAGGCGGGCGGAGGCGGGCGGAGGCGGGCGGAGGCGGGCGGAGGCGGGCGGAGGCGGGCTCAGACAGAAGAGCACTGATCAGCCTGTTTCACATGAGCTGAGATCACCTCTGTGCACGAAATGGCTGTAATTTGACAAGTTTTGAGTGTTGTACGGTGTATCACCCAAATTATTATCATACATGTGCATAGGGTGGACTGTAAAAAAATTAAGAAAAGCAAAATATGGCAAAAGTAGACGTAAATATACGTAAGTGTAAAAGTGGCATATGCCTGTCATAGTGAAATGAACTGTTACACAGATTGAGTAATACAGTTGGAATTTTATAAATAGACTGTTTAAATAGATACAAAGTAAATTATATCTCACAATGTTGTAATATCAACATCGTGATAAGGAACAGCATCATTGGGGCAACAGTGGCTCTGTTGGTAGAGCATTGGCCTTTGAGCCTGAAGGTCGTGGGTTCGAGCCCACCATAAGACCTACTTCACAACTCCCACTGATGACTGCTGTTGTTGTGTCCTTGGGCAAGACACTTAACCCCACTTTGCCTGAAGCCCCCGCTGAAAGATTTCAGCTCCTGTGGACTCACCACCTGCAGGAGGTGGGTCCACCTCCTGCAGGTGGACTCACCTGCAACCTTGTTAGGTTGAATACAATTTTTTTTTTATATCCCAACCCATCTGTTCCAGATGCCTCCTGGACGCCTTCCTGGGGAGGTGTTCAGTGCACGTCCCACCGGGAGGAGGCCCCGAGGAAGACCCAGGACACGCTGGAGTGTCCTGAGTTCCCAATCTGTGGGTAGATTGAACAATTTGTAAAGTCCTTTGAGACAACTACTGCTGTGATTTTAGGCTTTGCAAAGATTAATTGAATTGATTGGATAGTTAGGAGTCTTTCCTCCTCACAGCTACTGCTGCGAATACGCTGGAATTATCTCTTGGAGAGTTTTCATCTTCAGTCCCATTGGGCATGTTTATAGTGGTAGGGGAAACTGAAGCACTCAGAAGAAACTGCAGACACGAAGAGAACATGCAAATTTCACTCAAGGATCAACTTTATGGCTGGGAAAATTAGTTTTTTTGGACAAAACGTCCGTTGTGCTAAGAGCCAAGCCACATGTAAGGAAAGGGACATTTTGTTTTCCTTACCTATGTTGTTCCTCACCGTGTTGTTGAGAAACAAACATTCCGATCCTGATCTATGGGTGAATGAACTGATGAAGTTCTAGTTATTAGCTTAATGCTAATGTACATGTTGTTGCTTTTGCAATGCTTATCATAAAATATTGCTCGAGGGCCGTTACTTGGTCTAGTCTTACTTTAGTCCCACCATAATAAAGTTGGTGTACATTTACTTGAACTTGGTAGTTTTATAGATCTTAAGATCTTTCTGTTGTGTTTTTGTTTAAATAAAATGTCAAATGCAGGATCTTTTGTCAGAATCACGACCGTAAGAAGCCTTTGACTTTTTTAAGTCAACAATAATGCATTTTACTTTTTACTTACCAAAGCTTTTAGACTATAACTAACGTAGGGGAATGATTTCAACACTGTATAATATTATGTTTTTTTAAATGTATCATTGTTTAACATGCATGACGGCTAAAGAGGAGCTGAAATTAGAACACATGAATAGACACTTATGTGTGCACCACATTGCTTGTTGCTGAGTGTGTCTCTGTGCGAGATTGTCTTCTGTGTTTTGTGCACATTGAATCTATTGCTAATTTCTCCAAGCGCTGAGGCGTGATGAAGAAAGAGATGAATGTTTGTGTTTGTATTTGTTTTAAAAGTTTGACAGTTTCTAGATTACATTTCTGTTGCAGCTCATTCCGCTGTCCGGATTCCAGACATAGGTCATACACTTATTGTTTTGTTTGGAGCAGAATGTGCTGGTGTTATCACAGAGAGCCTCGAGAATTTGCTAAAGCAACATGGGCGAGAGAAACACAGAATCTATTAATCTGTTGTTTGTAGAAATTGTGGGGCCAAGATTGCCTTTAAATGCACATGAACAAATGTGCATTTAATCAAAAATGCAAATCTGCTGGCATCAGACATCAGCTCCTCACAGCTACAGTCGATTCATAGATTTCATGTGAGAGGTTTATTTACCATTTTCCAGAAGCCTCCATGTAGCTAATAATGTGCAAAACTATATAACAATGTAAACTGCATAAATAATGTTATTTTTTCATGAAAAATAAATAAATGCAAGAAATGTTTGCCTCTCAAAACACATACATGTATTTTGAGAGACATATGTTTCTTGTACTTTTACTTTTTCATGTTTTAGTTCTCCTTCAGTACCAAAAAAAAATCACCATTTGTTGGAGAAGAAGAAACTTGGATTTATTGGGCATCTTTGTGATTTAATTTGGATATGATTGTGATGATTTGGCATTGTATTTATATCATAGTAATACAGTGTGTAATGTAATGGACAATAATGTACTATGTAAAAAAAATAGACTACAGCATGCAAAGAAAATGTAGATTAATGGTTCTTAGGCAGGCCATAAAGGACACATGATCTAATTTTTTTATTCTAATATAGAATAGATGAAAGGCTTGATGCTGTGGAGGATGAGGGATTTATTATTTACCTGGAGATCTGCGGGAAGCACAGCCTGAAGCTTGACAAGTACTCAAACTTTGATGTCTTAAGCTGTGAATTTAACACTGCATGAGTTTTTTTAATACAAGGGAAACAGCATTACTAATGGAATCCTTGTTTTATTAAATTCCTGATTATCACAACTCAATTTATTAGATTCACACTTTGGAAGAACATGGACTCACATGGAAGAAGAATAGCTAACAATGGTGAAGGCTTAAGGCTGCAGGCATCTGTTTTACACAGACATAGGAATAAATTAAGTTCCTATAGTTGTTTATGTCTGTCTTCACTGCTGCCAACACTCCTCTTGTCATTCTCTAAGGGGCTGGCTCATTCCAAGTTAATTTACCCTAAAAATGAGCAGACACTCTGAGATGCAACGAGTGAATTCAAAAAAGCCACAACAGAAGCTATTTTTGTATTTTCTGAACAATGCACAGTGCATTAATAGCCCATGATAAAATAATTGGAAATTATGGATGCTAATCTTAAAGCCAGAAGCAATTACCTGGTACGTGCGAGAAAGAATAGACGAAATAGCTTCTTTGTGTTTTTGGGCTTCTCTGGTCTGTCTTCCTCGCTGTAGCTCAGAAAAACTAACAACCAAAGGGACTGCTTCTCCAGTTATTTACAGCTCCAAGTGAACCGTCAACGCTGTGCAATTTTACCTCCGCCTCAACAGTGGAAATCCTCCAAGATCATCTATCAGCCCACAAAAGAGTGCAGTTTGACACACGTTGGCACAATACATCTTTAGCTGAAGCAGTCTATTAAGCTGTCACACTGGAAGACTCAATATCAAATCATTTCTGTAACATAAATAACGTGACTGCAGAATTATTTAGAATTATCAAATAGACTTGTTATTGCTCACTAGTTCTTAAAGTAGTTTCTCTTGTAGCGAATTTACAGTCATCTCTATATCTCACTGCTCAATATCACATCTGTCATGATTCAGCACTTTCAGCTTTTGTGCCCTGCCATGCAAAAGGACCTGCATATACTGTACCTATGGCCATGTTAATTATTCAGCGTGTTTTCATGGTTCGAGTGCTGAGTCGCTCTCACTTCTTGTGGCAGTGGGATTATTTGACACTGCGTTATGATGTGGCCAGATTTGATATTGAATAAAGCTCTCAGTGCTTGTCACAAATGCCTTTGACTATTAAGAGCAGTCCTTGAGCTACAGATTAAAACTCCTCAGACTCTTACAAACAAAACTAAGGAGGATAAAGTATTTGGGCTCTTAGGCTTGAAAGTTTGGCGGAAAAAGACATTCTCTTTGTAAACTTTTGTGATTTGCATTTTGGTTCATGCCTTCTCATCTGTGTGCACCAGGGGCTGGAGGGTGGTCCCCTGTGAGCTCAGACCGGTACCAGTGGCTGGAGTTGGACCTGGGGGACCGTACCCGGATCACTTCAGTGGCCACGCAGGGGCGCTACGGCAGCTCTGATTGGCTGACTGCTTATCTGCTGATGTTCAGTGACACTGGACACAACTGGAGGCAGTATCGACAGGAGGACAGCATTGGGGTGAGTGAAGATGAGAGTGTGGATGTGCTGTACTTTTGTCCAAATGGGCCACATTATCGGTGTTCTTAAGTATCTTTCTGATTAAAATGTATTTCTTCAGTTACGACTATAATTAATTATCATTTTGAAAATCGATTAGCTTGAAACAATTTAGTTGTTTAGCTTTATACATTTTTTTTATACATTTGGCCAAAAGAAAGATGAAGTGATAGCCTGGCTCCGACAATGCATGCCCCTAAAGAACATATCCATGACTTGTTACACATGGGGTTATTTGATAAAAAATACTTAAAACATTCTTTATTTCATGCTAAGTCATTACAATTCTTCAAACAAGTCACATACCCTCTTCTCAGCATGAAAGAGTCTATGAAAGATTCAAAAAGAATCAATTGATTACTATAAGTTGGTTAAAAGACAAATAATTTGCCCCAATACATGGACAATAAATATTTCTGGGTAAGGTCAAGATTGTCTATCGTTGACATGAGATATGGTTCAATTGTGTTTAGGTATTTTAGTTGTTGGCGACCCATTTCTTATGATTCTAAATAAAAAATGGAGGTTTTCTATGAGCTTCTATACATCACACATTTGCATACATAATTTACTAGGCAGTTAGTGCTGCACCATGCGTGACTTCAATACAGTAATGAGCCTCTTCTTGTCATTAACAGATAATTAGTGTGTTATTATGTGCTTACTGACCTGATAGTTTTATCATGCAAAAGAGCAGCAGACAAGGAGTGGAGAATGTGCTTTGATTAAAATGACTAGGGCAATGTTAAATGCTTCGATGTATTAAGCCCAATAAAAGCATATGTCAACAAGGCTGCAGTTACATTTTAACCAACCCAGGAATTAGCATCTCATTTTCTTCCACAATTGCTTTTAAAATGTTTTCTTCGCCCGCAGGCTCTGTAGCATTCTGTGCTAAGTGCATTACGGCAAGAGTGTATGCGGAGGCAGTCAGACGTTACCTTGTAGACAGACAATTCTCCCTATTAAAGTGATTCCGTGTAGAACAGCTTCAATTTAAAGTTGATGAGAGGTAAGGCTCTCGCAGCGAGGGTAAAATGAATGTCAAGCAGAGATTCCTTCAGAGGGACTGGGGGAGTGCGGAAAAGGCTTTAGAGCTTGTGTTGATTTCACAGTCGCTATAAATCGGCCTAAATCCACAGCGCGTCTTCGTCTCTCCAAAGCTCTGTATTAGTCAGTCTGGTTTATTAAGGCTTTCGAGGAACAAAGTCATCGACTGAGCTCCTTCATCAGTCACTATTCCTCCAGGACATTTCCCCTTTAAGCGCAGAGGCCAGAGTTGAGTGGAGCTGAGTAATGCTCTCTCATTCACTGCTCCTCTGCGTGTCTGTCTTTGAACGACTGCCACTAAGGTGAGCTGAGCAGATGGTGGTGGAAGTGCTCTCCTAATAAGGGAAGAAAGGCTCATTTAGGCTTTATAGGTTCCTTGCAAATACAAAAGCCTGTGTCGCTTCACGAGCAATACCAGCAAAATGTTTTTTTAATGCTCAAAAATTCCAGGGCTGTGCATTAAAAGGACAGACCTATTTCTCAGTTTTAAAGTAAATGACATGTGAAGGTTAAGAAAAATGCAAGCGTACATAACTTAACACCTTTTGCAAAATGTGCTGCTCTCTTTTGAAAACTCAAACGTCTTTTCACAAATTACTCTATTTTTGTATTATTTATTCCACATCAAATGGAACTCCCATTTGTGATTCAGATTAGGTTGAAGATAATGAAAGAGAAAATTCAGCCAACCTCATTTGGCCTTCAGGCTTTGTGAATATAAAGCTATTAAAAAGTCCATTAGTCATTTTTTCTGTGATGCCTGCCACCTTCAGTTGGCCATCATCTGCATTTACTAAGGCTTTCTGTGGGAAACGCTGCTGCTGCTTCACCTTTTTCAACCTCTGTCTCCTTTTCCTCATTTCCATCCACTTTCTCTCTTAATTAAAAGCTCCCAACGGAAGAGTGTATATCTAGTCTTGGCCATATATCAAACAACTCCACACCGAAGGTTAGCTGCACTCTCAACTCACCTGTTCAAAGACACAGAGCTTGAACTGGATGATCTGCACTTTTGTCTATATCTTTGCAGACTCTTTTATTTGCACATATGACTGGAATGACTCTTGAAGTTCATATTCAGCTGAGCATTGGAAAAGAAGACGCCATGTGCTGTAGGATTGAGGAGGTTAATAACCACCCTCTCCAAGGACCATGTGTTTATCAAAGCATCAAACACATAAAACTACAACTTGTGCTTCAGAAATCTAATTTTCTACCTGATTGAGAAGGCATTCACCGGGAACGTGGCCTTATCTCCACGCCATTCCTTTCATTAGGGGGGAAATCAAACGCATCACTTCCCACACATGCTTCTGAGACTGTGGTTCAACCTCAAAGAAAAGATGAAAAGGGAAATGTTCACTTATGACAGCAGGTCTGACCGAAGGGAATTACATTGAAGGAAACGGTTTTATAGCAAATAAACAACAACAGTACAATGTTCTTTTCAGATGTTTTCTGGCAACACAAATGCAGACAGTGTGGTTCAGCACAAGCTACAGCAGACGGTCATCGCTCGCTACCTGCGCATCATCCCACAGGACTGGAACAACAACGGCCGGATAGGCCTGAGGATCGAGGCCTACGGGTGTCCTTACAGTCAGTATTGCAAAGTGTGACTCTGTTCAATGGTTTTATTTATGACTTACGTACTTTCTGGACTAAAAGGCGCACATGTACATAATCCGCACCACCTATATTTTAAAATAACTCAATTTAATCCGAATTTTTTCATATTTTTATGTTGTTATGGAACTGGTCACTTCATGATTTGATGATGAGTTGATAACACTAGAACTCCCAGAACAGTTATTTTAGGAAGTGTAATTATTGTTTCTATTTTCATATATTTTTTTCACTTTTTCACTATGAATTACTTACTTTGGGAAAAAAACTGGTGGAGAACTAAAACATTTTGACAGAGGATTTTTCAGAATTTTGTTTGTTTGAATGGAGCAGTCAAAATGACAGCTTTGGGAGTTCTTGTATTTTCAGAATTCTGGGCGTGCCCCCCAGTGTTAACAGCTTAACCGTTAGCTTCCATGCCTGTGCTACTTCACCAGTCTATTTTTGACAATAAACAAGTGTCCTCGAGCCACTAAAAGTTGATGGAGTCAAAATAATAAGTAAATTGTCAGGGCATAAATTATGCCCTGACAACTCTACCACACTTAACACACATATTGGCCGCAAACTACCATAATTACGGTAAATGCTTAAGTTACATGTGTTTACTTTGAGTATTTATCATTCACCATCGTGTTGGGAAAGGACATGGAACAATTGAATGTCTTTGTCCTTTGTGCGCACTGCCTCAGGATCACGATAGCCTATGTAACAACAGGTTGTTTAGGCCAGATGTGACTGCGATTCAACTCTGAGTACTATTCAAAAGACTGGTTCGGGAAGGAGCCTGGGTTGTGAGGTGTAGAGTGAGTGATACAAAACAACTGATTGAGTTTTGAGTTTGGTATTGTATTAAAAGGAGAAAGTAAATAACACAAAATTGTACAGAATAACAATATAACAATACTGACAGCCACAACCTCGCTGATAACGATACTGTTCTCACGATTCACACGCTCTGTGTTAGAGTCCGTGCTCCCATTCAAAGGGAGAGAAGAGAAGAAACCAAAATAGTCCACGATAGTCCAATATTGTCCGTTGGACGTAAAGGAAAAAAATTAATTGATAGTCTTTTATCCTACCAGGAGTCCATGGCAGGGACAGGGAGATATCAGGATGAGGTGTGGAAACAGCTCAGTACAAAAAACCGGACCTGACAAGAGGCCAGAAAAAGACAAATGAATATTAGGAAAATAAGAGTTAGCTATGTAATGCTCTTAGTTGACTAAACTTAACTTCAATGTATCTATAAGATACAAGATATTTACAATCTAAAACTGCAGATTAAATCATCAAATTTCAAATCACATTCAATTAAGTTAACATGTAGATCCAAAAGGGATCAACCAAAAATGTCATTTCCAGTGCATCAAACGCACTTTGGTAATCAATAAATTATGTATTTCGATTGAGGATGATAGTGCACTAATAATAATTATCTTCTCTAAATGTTTCAGTTATCATGGGAACATAATTTGCATGATAACTAAGTGTTGCGCAACAAACTTTAGAGTCTCTGACGTAGCTACAATAATCAGGTGTTGTCAATCCGGACATCACTGGGGATTTGCGGTTATTTACAAACAAAAGTGTCTAACCGGTATTAACAACCACTCACTGCGGTAAACAAAGATATTTATCTACACATTAACTTACTGCCTACAATTCGGGTTGGCTTGTTTATGAATAAAGTAAACAGCGTACCTTGAATTGCGTGGGCTTTGACGCTACTCCACACGCGCCCACATGGAAGCGTGGAGTCTACAAAGAGTTTGCAGAGATTAGCGACTGATCATGCGGTTTGCAACATGGACATTTAATTTGCATGATGCCGAACAGTTGGCGAAAGGCTCACCTTTATGATAGAGAGAAAAACGCTCCGATAACAAAGTTGTGCAGCTTTGTAACGCTAGCCCGCAGCTATGACATGCCACAGGTACAGCGGAGGAGAGCGTCAAGTGGGGGAGCGCGCATCATAAGGGAAACCATCAGATGTGGCGGAAGCTGACCCGCAACAATAAAACTAAACTGAAATGCTTGGAAATGGTAATACACAAATGCAAAGGAAATAAACATCAGCCAACCTCACACATTGCACCCGTTGAGCAAAGATTAGTAGATGTTTTGTATCATTATGTTTTCAGATATAAATAGTATAAGAAAATCATATTTCAATTAAAAAACCTAATCTTGCGAGAAAGAGAGCAAGATTGCCTACTGAGCTGTGGGTGGTCTCACAATGGACACTAATCAATACATTTCATATTTATGTATTTATGTATGTATGTATTATGTATTATTGTATGACAATAAACATTTTAAAACATTAAAAGACAAAGATGACCCATAGACTGAGAGGACCACCCAACACAGGCGTTGCCAGACAGGGAGGAGCAGAGCGTTCCCCGCTGAGAGCCTCTGGTTTGTCCTTTAGGAACCACAAGCTGGAGCTGGTCCTCAGACGTCAAGTGATTATGGGAATATGACAAGGATGCCCTTTATCACTGCACTTGTTTGTTTTGTAACTATTTCACTCTGGGCTGAGAGATGATTGGCTGAGTGAGGGTGGTTTAATCTTCTCTGTCTGAAAAAGCTGATTATTATGTCCAAGGCCAAAAATACATGTGCGAAAACTGCTTTAGAGCCAGGTTCTAGTTACATGGATTGTATTACTTAGTTGCATTGTTGTGGTGTTAAAGAGAGGTATTAATAAAGACATTTCATATTTTTCAGATTCAGACGTGGTGGGCTTCTCCGGTCAGAGCAGTCTACTTTTCAGATTGAGTCCAAAACCAACTATGGTCAAACAGAGCATTTCCCTCAATTTTAAAACGTTGAAGAACTCCGGCACATTGCTCCATGCTGACGGACACAGTGGGCACAGCATCACTCTTGAGCTGGAGAAGGGAAATCTGCTTCTTCATCTGCAAACAGGTAAAACACATCAGAAAATGAGCACCATCCATTTCAAGAGCATATCGCTGTTAAAGACAATATATTTTAACGCTGGCCCGACAAAGCAGAACCATTTTTAGATTTATGGACTGTACTGAAAATCTAAATGTTGAGAAACTGCTTTTCAAGCCTTTGCTTTATTCCAAAATTGAGTTTGACTACAGCTGAAGCTCATAAAATAATTGTTCAAAAGTAAATTTATTTATGTAGTTCAGTTTAAAAAGTGAAAATATATGATTTTGACTCGTCTCATTGCATAAGACGAGTCAAGACTTATAATGTATGTATATAATGTTGATCATTATGACTTACAGACCATTTTAAAACATTCAAATGATCAATATTATAACATATATATAAAGACTTTATATATCTCACTTTGTATGTAATGTGTCATATCTAAAGCCCTGTTTCCACTAGCCCTACTTTGCCCTCTACTTTTCTTGGCTCTACTCTACCCTGTTTGGGAGCTTTTCCACTGGCCCTGTTTAACCGGTACCAAAGTGTTCTCACTGACAATGATTGGCCAGAGTGCTGTTGGAAACCACGGTCACCAAAGAATGTCCCAGGATTCTGGTAGGTTGCTAAGATACGTGCCAAATACGTAAGGGATAATGTATAGCCTACAGGTCATTATCGGAAAATAAGTACCGACAGGGCGAAGCGGACCCCGACGCGCAGGGTCTGCTTCCGCCTGAAGGTACTTATTTTCCGATAATGACCTGTAGGCTATACATTATCCCGCTTATTATACTGCTTTGTACCAGCTTAACACACAAAATAAACTTCAGATCACTTTTATGAATGCCAAAAGTTTATTTAATGACAACAAATAAAGTAGTCCCAAAAAGTTTTCCCGTTGCTCGGCAACCGCGGGCAGGCAGTAGCAACAGTCAGGCTGGCAACTTCCAAACTAGAACTCTCTGGAACTGCATGAAAAACTGAACAAAGAATTCTGAACATCAGCGGTGAGTGACCCATACATAAACCTAACCTAAATCCATAATTCGATCCTCTGCAAATGTGTCCGAAAATGTGCCGGTATCTTAAAATGTGCCGGTATCTACTTCCGGGTTTTTCGGGATCGCCTTTTCTCGCATTACATCAGTGTTTTTGTCATGAAAACGTAAACGGAAAATTCTGAAAACTTCCGTGCACTTGTATTAAGACTGGATATGTATAATTCACTCTCCGATAAACATTTCATTGCGTTGATCGATTGGCATTTGCGTTTATTGAGCGGCCAGAACTACTTCCGGGGTTTTCACGATCGCTTTTTGACGCAGAGAAATAGTATTTTTGTCATGAAGACAAGACCAGAAAATTCTGAAAATTTCCGTGCACGTGTGTGAAGAATGTATATGTATAAGTATTCTCCGATTAACATTTAAGTGTGTTTATTGAGCGTGGCTAGCTCAGGAGTGGCCGGAACTACTTGCGGAGTTATCCACGCATTTGAAAGACAAGCAGAGAGTGCGTTGCCATGGGCAGCGGTCATTATTGTTTTGAGAGGTCCGTTATAGAAAATAATGACCGGTAGAACGTTTTGAAAATACATTCAAATCAATGGAGCGTTCTACTGCTGCTGTGAGGAGCCGTATAATAATAAAAAGTAATGGAAACGTACCAGGTAGAGTAGAGCTGAGTCAAGTAGGGCCAAGTAGGTCTGGTGGAAACAGCACATTAGTTTTACATTGTAAGTTGAATTTCAGAAGTAAATGAACAATATTCTAATTTTTGAGTCCTTGTGATGACAGTAGATAGTTTTGTAATGTAATATCTCATACCTGTTTCTTTTTACATTTCCAGTGAATTAATAATCTCAGTCTATCAAACTATCATTCTAAAAACCCATTACAAACAAACCTTGCAGACTTTTGCAAAATGCAGAGGGAACTTTTAACTTAATCAAATTATATTGCATTTCATTAATAGGTCCACAGGCTTCAGCACTGCTTTGTTCCTTTGTGTGGGCTTTTCTTTGCAACACTTAATGTTTCACACTTAGTTCCACTCTGTGCCTGGAGATGTCCAAATGCCCATACACGATATTAGCTTATTAAAAAGAATGCACATGCTCTCCCAAATATATTTCATTTTTATCTTCCCAAAAATGCATTTAAATGTTAATTTAGACTTTTGCAGCTCACTCATTCTAAGTTGATGGCGTGGCTTAGTATGGAGAATGTGGATTATGGCCGCTTCACTGCAGCCATCTATGGAGCTCTCAGACTTTTAGCCAGTGGAAGTGACAGAAATTGATTTGTGCTTTTGAAATGACTTTGGCTGCATGTCGAAATATCATAACTGTAATCAGCATGCCCACTGTTTCATTTCTGCATCTCATTCAGCCCCAGTAGTGCTCTCTGACACACACTCCAATGATTACAGCATCATTGTGAAATCTAAAAGCCTCATTGTTTAAGCATCAGGTGTAGAGAACCACATGTCCAATCATGTTACATTAGATATGCTGTATATACATTCCTAACCTGTTCTAAAATGGGAGGAATGAGCAGTGTGGTGGGAAAAAAACTTGTTGATCTATTGTCCAATAATGGAATGAGGCATAGGAAGCAGGAACAAGTTTCAAAAGTTCAGTAGGTTCAGATTCAGAATCAGAACCATTTTTATTGCCGTCACGGAAGAGAGGCAGAGAATTGAGTAAGGCATAGTAAAAAAAAATCGGCATACACAAAAGGTATAAAAATTAGAATAAAATACATTTAAATTAACCATATACAATATACAGTGCACAATATGAAGTGAGCAGTGCAGTAGTGCAGTAGTGCAGTGAGGTGACAGCGAGGCAGTCAAGTGGCTTTATAAAGAGCACTAAGTTGCGTTCATGTTCAAGAATTATATTTCATTTTTAGAGCAGGTGTCATTACAAATCAACAGGAAAGAACACTAAAAGAAACGTTGAAAAGATCCAAAGGTTTTCCTAGATTATTGTTATACGCCAAATATACCGTCCTTGCACTGGTCAATGTAATGCATGATTTAAAATAATATTATCACCTGTTTTTGCAACCTTTCTGATACAATAATTAGACCGTAGTTGAAAGTTTTTGAGATGAACATGTGGATTGGCCCAGGAGTTACAGACAAATTAGCTCCTGCTGGTGCTCAGAGAAATTGGGAGATCCAGATTCAGGCAGCTAAAATTTGGAACAGACTTCCTGAAAACGTGAACTAGGCTTCTACTCTGACAACATCCAAATCCAGGTTAAAAATAGGTCCGTTTAGCTGCACATACAACTAAAGAATTGTGTCCACACTCTTTCAAATGTACTGTGGATATTTGTGTTTTATCTCAGAGTGCTTTGCAAAACGTTTCCTTTCTTGTTTCGTAAAGACCTTTGAGTTGCTATGTATGAACTGTGCAATACAAATAAACTCGCCTTGCCAAAAAACTAACACAAGAAGTCGGAATTTTATCAGTTTCTATAGTTATTCGGAAATGTTTTGCAACTTCCCTCCACCGCAAATTGTAATGTTGACATCACATGAACGCCCCAAAATGATCAGGTCTGGTCTCGGTCCAAGGTCTTTTGTGTGCTCCACGGTCTCCCTCCATGTCCAAGTCTGCTCCTCGGCTACTGTCAGCCTGTGTGTGCCTATGTGAGATAAGAGCAGAGAGCTGTGTAATTAAGTCTATCCCCAGAATAACCGGGATGAGAACGCACAGCACAGCATCAGAATACAACCATTGGTACATTTCTTGTTAATCTCAAGTAAAACTCTGGATATTGGTTGTGTCTGATGTTGTGCCGTTGACTTTCACAATGATTTATATCAGTTTTTTATTGTCTCGTCTGTTATCAGGTGTAAACAAACAGATACATCTCTCACTGCTGTCAGGGACTCCGCTTGGCTTAATTTTACTGCCCACAACTGCCTTGTTTTATCAGCTCAGAGATATCTTATCTGCGGATAGAAATGCACTTCCCAATAGCCCTGAATACACATGGCTGAGTTTTGTTTGGAAAGTTAAAATTGACTGACTGATGTTGATGCATTCGTTGGGGACTACAAACATAAATTGTTGCTTTTGATTCAATGCAAAATAATTTAAGGAAAGCTGTTTGATTGAAATGTTTAAATTGTCTGAATATTACTCTTGCATTTTGTTGGTTACTTTTTATACATCTGTCCTAATCACTGAAGCCAAAGGAAACTGGTTAAACAATTATGTGCATCATCTGATAAGAGCTGCCAATAAGTGCAACTAAACTGAATTAGCCCCGGGTTAGTTTTATTTCCAGAGCAGACACCACACATTTAGGTGATACAGCCTTAGCATACTGCATTCCATAATTTATTTTGTTTAAATGAACTCTTTCACATTTCAATATATTTTTTACCAAGCATAATTTAATTATTTAAATGGTACCAAATTCCATCTCTGTCAGGCGGAGGGAGAAATGCATGTAGAGACACTCTCTGAATATGTATGAGATATAGAATATTTGGATTTGATTAAACCCAAGCAATAGAACAATAAAACAGTAATAAAAAACTATTTCTATCTAAAATGCTTAAGGTCTGTATAAAAGGCCTGGAAAGTAATGAAGCCAGATTCACTTCATTTAAGATTTAAAAATCGCCTGAACATTTCGGACTTTTACTATGACTTTAAAAAACTTTCCGAGCTTCGGTTGGCAGTATATTTGCTGCATTCAGGGAAGAATTTCCATATTGGCTGTGACCTTAGACTGAAATGAAAAATAAATACTTAAAGTAAATGAATATATCACATTGACCATAGGCAAGAAACAGCAAAACTTTTAGACCTAAATAAAACTTATACAAGCATCAATAAAATCAATCCACGGCTAATTCTACCAATCCAAGGCTAAAACACACAACAATCATTACAAAAACAAAACATAAAATATGATATAAAACGTCAAACAGTGACTCTGGGCTATATCTTACAAGTATGCAAAATGTTTTTTAGTCGTTTGTTGTGATTTTCTCTTCATAATTTTACTTTTACAAGACTTTTGGGACTTTTTCTAAATTTGTTATTCATTTTTAATCCTGCAAAATCAATTAAGACAAATCCTATTTAAATTTAATTAATGAGCCGGACTTTTCTTTTTTTTCTCTCTCTCTCTCTAAATTTTATCCAACGTGCATTTTGTCCTTGTGTGTTGTTGTTTTTTCTTCCAAGTCAAGTAAAGACAGCTTCATTATGAAATCCCAGTCCGTGAACCAAACGAGACAGAATGATGGCACCTTCTTTCCTTCACATCCCTTCAGTGTTAGTTTGGCGGCTGCCTTTGCTTTGTGGGTCAGTTTGTGCAGCAGATGTAGCGCTGGTTGTAAATGAGTTCCCCAGGTGAGAATCCTTGGAAAACCGCAAAGTTCCCATGATTAAGATCAAAGGGAGATAAAGCAACACCGAGAGCCTGTAAACAACAATGAAGCAAACATGGATGTGTTCTCACAGTGACAGAGAAAGTTTTGTGCCAAATCATTCTTATATGTTTTTTTACTATTTTTTAGGCATGTATTTATTTTAACATCTGTCTGGTTCTTTACAAACCCCTCCACAGTCATATACTGTATTTGTAAACTGCTCTTGCTTTATGAGCCTGTGCGCAGCATCAAATCCCTGTTCTGTTACTGAAGGGGGTGAAGCTGTTTTTTTTTATTTTACGCCACAACCACTTTTCTTTAGTACAAGAATACATTATAATCAATGATGAAACACTAGTTCAGGGGGGATGTTTGCAACTTCCCTGTAGTATCATCAAAATTAAGAATTTTCACTTTTTATTTAAGCAGTTCTTCCCCTTCGAATACGCATCAGCAGTAAGATTGGCTGGAGAAGAATAGTCTTTGCTGTCTATCAAGGATTTGAGTTTATTGCGACCAATCAGAAAGCTGTGGGGGCGGGACTAACATCACATGCTTTCAAAATATTTCTCTCAACCTTGAAAAGTAACTGACCGACCCTCAAAGCAATATTTTTCATCTTTTTTATTATAGAATATTATTGTATTGTTGTAAAAAAAAAAAAATGCTTAAATTAAGGCCAAAGACACCACTATTGACCAATATTCATTTTAGTCAAATAACTATACTCTTTCTTTAATTTAAGCAATTTTAGATTTTGTTTTGTCTTTTAAAGCATTAGTGCGTCCACTAAAATTGAGAATTGTGTAGTGCAGTTAGCTCTTCATTGTCTTTTTGTGATCTGTTTTTTTTCTTCCTTTTTTTAATGCACATTGAGTTGCATTCCTGTATGAAATCCACAACATCTTATTCTTCTAGACAAATCTCCCTCAAGTCGGCACTCGGTCTCCCTGGGCAGCCTTTTAGACGACCAGCACTGGCATCATTTTGTCGTAGAGCATCAAAGCACACACCTCAACTTCACTGTGGACAAAAGCATGCAGTGGGTCCAGATCCCATCTAAATTCTCCCACTGGGACCATGACCAGGTAAGCTTGTCCGAGCCAACACAACAAAGACACCACAATGAAGCTGCTCCTTAATCTGATATTGTGGTTCATTTTTTGCTCCCTTTGTAGATCAGTGTGGGAGCAGACCTGGTCCACGGATTGCAGAGGTCAGCGCAGCCAAGCAGAAACTTCCATGGTTGTTTGGAAAATGTGATTTATAATGGACTGAACCTGGTGTACCTCGCCCAACAGAGCGACCAGCGAGTGACTGTGCAGGTAAAACAGACATGAAACTTGTGTTTGTGGATGTGTTCATTTTGACTGTTTTAGTGGTTCTGGTGGAAACTTCTTTATTTGTACCTGTAGGTGCGAGAGAGCTGGTGCCATACACTCGTGCATACATGTCCTATTGATAAGAAAACAAAGAACAAAGAAAGTAGTCTCCAATCTTCTTGAATACATTGATGACATTTAGTGGCAATTTAAAAATGGTAGTAGCTGTAGTAATTGTGTATTGTAAATTAATAATGATATTTTAATGGATTCATTAAAAAAAAAACTATTTCCGTACTGACAAACATTAGGAATTGCTACAAAGCCAGTAAGAAATTTGCCCAGGATCCCAAACACTGTATCTGTGCTGCCGCTTTAGCTTTCCCATTTTGTTTTCTCTTTTTGGAATAACATTTTTCACATGGTTATCACTAAATCGACTTTAGCGAGTGAATGGTCGTAGGTTTTTGTTTTTTTTTCAGTGGTTGAAAAACAGCACATCACCTTTAAACTGGATGCGATAAAAGAAATCAAATTGGGCTCTCTGCTGGGCTACATTTATTTTCTCTACCACTATTATAAACAGTGTTTTTGGCTGAATAACATGCAGCAACAAGAACACGGTACAAAGCCAAGGTCTGGAGAGAAGATCATAGTGAGCAAGATATGTACGCCTCTGAAGCCTGCTCTGCTACTGACATTTGTTTTGTTTTTTAAATCTGCCTTTTTACAAATATGTCCAACTACAGTATATCTGGAGCTCAAAATCTACCATCGGCATTACCAAGTGTGCATTTCATTTGTACAAAAATGTAGAGAGGAATGTGCTCAAATTAGATCCATTGATGCATGTTATTACTGACGGAAATGCAGTGGGACGCCATGTCATTATTAGCAATTAATATTACAAGGAGCTGCTAATTCAACCGTGCGTTAATTTGCTTTACATTATCTATATAGTTTGCATATTCACACCGTAAACTGCACGCATCTAATTGCTTATCACCTTGCAACAAAGAAGCACAGAAAGACAGTGTTTTGAAAGTAGTTTCTCCCCAAACTTTCCCGTATTTCTACCCATTTGTGAGATGCTGCCTGTGCCAGTTTGTGCATGCACTGTTCAGTCCAACATATTCGTGCGCCTAATGGATTGTGTCAAGCTAATGCACAACAGCACTGACTCTCCAAGGTACTCTCATCTACTCCCTGCATTATGGCATATCGCTTTAACTGCCCCGCAAAGAGCTTTTAGGTTTGATCAAGTGTCACAATGTTGTTGGTTGCCACTGAAAATAGAAGCCTATGTAATCCCTGAAGAAACAGATGCAATGTTTCAGCATCACTTGCAAAAGACGTGCGATTACTGCAATTAATACTGCTCTCAAAGTTGTCTGCCGGCACGCTGAGACGACCAGCTGCTTTCCACCATTTCCTCTGCCCCCCTCCCTACTCCTCCTCCTCCTCGTGGCCTGCTTGGGACGGTCACTTATGTCGTGAAAGCCCTTTTCTCCATGACTTTGTCCAGTCTGACATTGGCGCCTGAGTTCACTTCTTCTTAGTCAAAGCGTTATCGCTATGGTAATACTTTCTGCTCTTTAGAAAGATCTGCTGATGAGATCTCTGTACGTCAGGGCACCTCCACGCACCCTTCGCAAATTAATTCATATTCATGCATTATCATGTTTTGCCTCTTCCTCCCTAATCACTTCTCCCATACTCCTCTCCTCTCAGGGCAATGTCACCTTCTCTTGCCTCGAGCCCGTATCTGTTGCGGTGACGTTTAGTGGCCCTCACAGCCTCCTCTCGTTGCCGTGGACGATGGAGTCTGCATCAGCGGCCTCATCAGTGGGTCTTCAGTTCAGGACCTGGGACAGAGAGGGGCTGCTGCTCACGTTTGACCTTCCCAAGCAAGGAGGCGTGGTGTGGATTTATCTGAGCAGAGCTAGGCTTTGTTTGAAGTTGTTTCAATCTGGGAAAACTCAACAAGATCTGACAGCAGGTGAGCTAAGAAGCAGATTCTGATTCTGGGGAATTCGTTTGAGCAGCATTAAATGAAAAGCACACATAACATAGCGTCATGAAATGGAGCCTATACAAACATGAATACATAGCACTACATCAATACAAACTTAAATGCTCATTAAAGTCCATTTACCACCAACTACAGAGAGTTCAGTGGTCTAATTCAATGGTTGGGCCAAAGGATTTTCAGTGATTGTTGGGTTTTATGTGGTGACACTTGGTAAAGTGAATTTTAACAATTTAACAATAATATAACAAACCTGTACAGATAACCAGATCCATGTATTCATATTTGTCAACTTTCACATTCAATACAGGCACGTATTGCATTGTGATTATTCCATAGAATGTAGACAGCAGAAATAAAGTGTGTACGTATTTATTGGCCTGTCAATCGATTAATCGACTAAAAAGCAAAGGCACTAAAAGTGACTGCATTATCTAATCCAAACAATACACACAAAATAAAACTTAATAAGTTTAATTTACAATATTAATTAAACATGGGAATTAATAGTTGTATCTGGTTTGAACAATAAATAAATAAACAACAAATTCCAAAATTGTTTGCCATTTTGCTCCACATGTTATAGTTTTCCCACAGATAATCTTGTAATCTAAATGAAGCAATCAGTCGACTAATTATGACTACAATTACATTTTGGATGTTTGTGTTTGCTTAGGGTCGTCTCTCAGTGACGGACAGTGGCACCGTATGGAGCTCCTCTCCAGACGAGGTCATGTGACTCTTACAGTAGATGGAGAAGAAGCTGCCTCTGCCTATAACACACTCATAACCATCGCAAAAGGGACGCACTTGTACTTTGGAGGTGCGGCAGTCATGTTCTTCTACGATTCTAAATAACTATGATGCCCCTGCTCTGATGTGATGTTCTGTACCCTGCAGGGTGCCCCATTGTGGACGGAGCAGAGGGATGCAGGAACCCGTTTAGCTCATTTCGAGGCTGTATGCACTCCCTGGTGGTAAACGACCAGCCTGTGGACCTGGTGATGGTGCAGGAGAGGCTTCTGGGAAATTATAGTCAGCTGCAGATTGACATGTGCGGCATCACCGACAGGTTTGTGCTTTTTTGGGAACACCGATACAGGCTTACTGAGCCAGGAGGATAGACTTAAATATTTCATTTTTGTTGACAATGTTTTGTTTTCACCTGTGCGAATCCCCTCTAATCCCATCTGTATACAGCAGGATGTATTTTGAGATGAAGTATAGATTATTAGACAGGAGCGAATGGGATCCACATGGAAATGTAGCACCTTTGTTTCAAGATCAGTGTTTCCTGAAATACTTTAGGAACACAATCCTGTTATTGTTTTGTCGTCGAGTATCATGGGCTTTTCCTCAGCAGGAATGGTGTTTTGTTTTTCTTTGTGTTGTGAAAATGTAATTTATAGCTGAGGCAGTGGTGCGATATGGAGCGATCCAGACAGAAAACACATACTCACAGTGCTCATTCTGAGCTACCGTTCGACTGAGATCAAAGCCCTGAAATAACTATGGCGGAAAAAGCAATCTCTACTTTCCCTCTTGGTTGCCACCAAATCCTCATTGAACCCTCAGTATTTTATCTTAGGCCAATCTCTATAGCTCAGTGTGATTGGGTTTGTACAACATTTGGGTTATTTTCCTCCAAAATGACTGACAGCCTGTAAAAAGCATTGGCCCAGGGAAGTATGATTTGCCTTGTTGAGTTTCTGCCTCTGATTGTTTTCATCAGAGGATAATAATTTTCATCTTCACAATAACAATCTCAGCAGCAACTCATTTGTGAGTCAATTTCCCAAGGATTAGTGAGAGAAAAAGATGATAAAATGTGAGAATAGCTTTTGATTATAAAGAAGAACAAGTATTGTCTAATGTGTATAATTATAACTTTTGAAGAAGTAAATGTTTCTTAATGTGAACAGTGTGGAGTCATTTGGGAGGTTACATGAAACATTATTTAAAAAGAGTAAAAACTAACTCTATTCATATTCAATGGTGGTGATTGTACATATATATTGTACATTTTGTTCAAATGGCCTATGCAGCCATCATTCTGCCAGGGTGTGTAAGTGAGTACACCTGTATAGCAAAACATTGCCAGAGCAGTGTGGTGTTGCTTTTAAAAAAACTTTTTTTGGGTGGGTATTTCTGCGATCCGGTTAATAAGAAAAAGGAGAAAAAACAAGCATTTTGTGTAATTGGTATGATTAATTAACATGCGCCACCTTGCCCAGACCAGATGGCCTTAGGAGATTCTTTATACTCCGGTGTCCTTTTAATTGCTTATTTAGTTTGACCTGACATTCCATTTGTCTAAGTATTTTTTGTCCTTTTGCTCACCATAAATCAACAACCACACCCCATAAAATGGCTGCTAAAATGTTTTTATACCCTCACTTAATGTTTAATAATTCAATGATTACCTAATGCATATTATATTTGACCTAATTGCTTGTGTTAAATACTATAGCTGAGAATATGCTTTATGTTTATGGTGAAGATTATTCAGATAATCCATGTTGCATCGTCTGATAATTGATTTCACTGTTAGTTACATCGTCTCTGAGTGTCCCGGCCACACAACTGCCCTTTCATTCCGAAAATATGTTTCAGACCGAACTTCAAAATCGCTCAGAGAATGATGAGTCAGCACTTTCCCTAACTGCAGCTTTTCCAAACGATTAAAAATACATGCTGCTTTAGCTGTCTGCTTCTCTGTGTGTCTTTGCTGGTACATTCTGCTGACCCCGTTTCCCTTTGCAGTATGTTTACACAGTCACTGCCACACTATTCATCTCAGAACTCGCCCCCTTTGTTGCCTATTGCTCCTCCTAATACCCAGCTCCCCCAAACCTCCATTTCCTATCACAGTAATTCATCTCCTCCCCTCCCAGAAAACAGCTCATCCCAGGCCCAATATAACCCAATTACATCTCCAAGCAAAGAAGAGCCTTACAACTTGGCTTCTTCAAATGAACTAAAGCAAAAAATGGCTCTTCACCTCTTAAAATATTAAATAATTACCGTTATTAACTCCAGTGATGCTCTAGGATACAGCATGTAATTTCTTTGTGCCAGCACAGCCTAAAGTTATCCAGAGGTGATACAAAGAGAGAAGATGATTTTTTTTTCCGTAGATGACGTGTAATTTTATTACAATGATAATAACGTACTTTACATCACATGTGTGTGGCTCTTTCTGTAAGGTTAAGTTATCGCTGTAATCTTGTAGATACTAACAGTGCTTATCTTCGGAGGACAGACACACTTTCTGCATATTTGGTTCCAGAGTGTTGACGTCCCCATTTGTCATTAGTGTCTTGTAGTCCTATCTGATGTCCCCTTTTTCATGGTCGAAAGATGCACATTTGAATAGAACTATTTGGAGGAATGCAGTTTGTTGTATCAGTTACTGTACACTCTCGTCTATTCATTGTTATTTACAAATGGCATATTATCATGATCCAACAGATCATGTTTGCTTAATAATTCTGATTGAAGTTTAAGTTTTGTGCTAAATGTTGCTATTATTGGTATTCGAGAATCTGTATGTGTCATTTTTTGTCACAGTCGTAATAGGGGTAAGGCAGTTTATGTCTCAACTTCAGCCTAAACCCCTTTCAGTCAGGCATTATTTAGCACTACAATTGTTCATTTATACAATTTACAATGAAAAATAAGATCGTGTATGACCTTTGAAAACGTTTGATCTAAGATCTAATGTTCCAAAGAAATAAACTACTAAACTAGTATAAATAGTTCCCAGAAATGGATTAAGGCAGACATGTCAAACTCAGGCCCATGGACCAAATCCGGCCTGCAAGATAATTTTTAGTGGCCCCTGGAAGAATGGAATGAGCTTTATTTCAGTAACTTGCAGCATTGATGGTGAGGGGCTGCTATACGGCATGTTATACTTAATTTGAAAGAATACTGAATCAGGGAATCGACCTTATAATCTGTTCTAAAATGTTAACAATAATGTAATTTGAAGTAATAGTTAATTGTTTTTTTTTTATTATCTTCCAATACAGTTGTGGTTGAATCCAAACCTACTAGAAAATAATGTACAAACTCATGTCAAATACAATTAATTATTTATCTACACATGGACACAAAATTAGAACTTAATTTAGAAAAGCTATTGCAATGAAGTGGTCTCTCTCTTGACACAGTGAACAGACGTTGGTGCATGCTGGTTATTTCTACTGGACGATTGTAAAAGTGACAGCCTCCTTCTGTCTGTGTCTGTCCACAGATGTTCTCCGAGTCACTGTGAACACGGGGCCAGCTGCAGTCAGTCCTGGAGCACCTTCCACTGCAACTGTTCAGGCAGCGGCTACAGCGGCGCCACCTGCCACAGCTGTGAGTCCACAATGCACTGATCACTGATCAAACACATGTGCACGCAGCTCTTTTAACTCACTGTCCTCAGGCTTGTTGTGGCAGGTCAGCCTCAGATCAAATACCTTTGCTATCTCCAGCACTACGTGTGCACCAAGCTCACAGTGACGGACAGGGGATTAAGAGTCAAGAAAAACCACCAGCAACTCACAACAGTCTTTTAGTAGACATTCCTAACCCCAAACCACAGAAATCAATGTTGAAGCCATCACTATAAATATATATTATTATGTATTGATCCATTCACATTTGCAACCTACTGTACGGACAACTTTTTGCTGTTCTTCACAACTCTTTTAGAAATGTTTACATAATTGTTTTGGGTCATTTTCAAATGAAACCACAAACCACTTGAGATCTGTAATCAACCTATCACCTACAAATAGAAATATATGTCTTCCCTTTTAAAATAATAGTGAAAATAACATATTTTTACTAAAAGTGTTCAGTTTGTTGTTAAAACTCGGATTTTATATAAACCAACAGCTGCAGAGTGTCTTCAGCCATTAGTCAGGCTAGCATGCAGCAAACATTACTTCTGCGCTCCTTATGGTCGAAGGGGGTTAAGTGTCTTGCCCAAAGACACAACGACAGCAGACATCAGTGAGAGTCCATGGAGAAGGTCCCTCAGTGGGTTCAAACCCATGACCTTCAGGCTCAAAGGCCAAGACTGCCGTCTTGTTAATAGAATTTTGCCTGTGCTTCTGAGACTGTCCTAAAGATGAAGCTTTAATTAGATTAGACATGAATACCTGACCTTGCCAGCTAATTTCATCGTTACCTGACCTTGTCTTTTTAACCCGTCTGCAAAAGTAACAATAACATAATGATTAATAGCTGCATTTGGCATACAATTCATTTGACATTCTGCTAAACACATAATGTGTTGTGAGACAATGCAACAAATTCCACTTTGTTGTATCTCTCTCTTTTGAGGAAGCGTTTATTTCTGTTGTCTTATAAACTGAATTTGTGCGTGAGAAAGTTATTAATTTTAAACCTTGTTCTCCTCAGCGATACACGAGCAGTCCTGCGAGGCATACAAGCACAAAGGCAACACGTCAGGCTTCTACTACATTGATGTGGATGGCAGCGGGCCCATCAAACCACAGCTTGTATACTGCAACATGACAGGTAGCATGCATAGCTAAACAAACACTCCATGTGCTATGTCTGTCAAACGTTTGATTGTGTATCTGCTGGCTAAGATATTCTCCGAGAGGACCACAGTTAAATCTCATTTCATTTTGTCAGAAGAGAAGACATGGATGGTGATTGAACACAACAACACTGAACTAACAAGAGTGCGTGGTTCACCGAGCAAGAAGCAGCACTCAGCTCATTTTGAATATACATCTGAGGATGAGCTACTGGCTGCTGTTATCAGCCAATCAGAGCACTGCGAACAGGAAGTGGCCTATTATTGCAAGATGTCCAGACTTTTCAACACACAAGGTAGATGGTAGTTTGGATTTCATCACTTACTTTGTACACAAAACATATACTGAAGCATGTACCGTTTGTTTCTACTAGATGGCTTTCCACACAGTTGGTGGGTTGGAGGGACGACTGGGGAGCAAGTGCAGACGTATTGGGGCGGGGCTCAACCTGGAAGTCAGCAGTGTGCCTGTGGCGTGCTGAACAAGTGCCTAGATCCAAGGCATCAATGTAACTGTGACGCAGACCACGCCGACTGGTGAGATTTAATTCCTTTTCTGATATGTTTTTTTCCTGGTTGTGAACTTGTGATGATTTTTTTGTAGGAGCAATGATTCAGGTCTTCTCACCTACAAAGAGAGCCTCCCAGTCAGATCTCTGGTCCTCAGGGACATAAACAGGCCTGGTTCAGAAAGTGCTTACAGGGTTGGACCACTTCGTTGTCATGGAGACAGTAAGTTGTACAGTAAATTCCTCTGAATTCTGACACACAGAAAGAGGTACATAAGATACATTTGAATTCACTTCAAAACTTAACATCTTTCAGAAAATATCTGGAATGCTGCTTTCTTTGACAAAGAGACTTCCTACCTTCACTTTCCCACATTCCATGGAGAGCTGAGTGCCGATATCTCCTTCCTGTTTAAAACGACTTCATCCTCTGGGGTCTTCCTCGAAAACTTGGGCATCAAAGACTTCATTCGGATTGAACTTAGCTGTAAGTAAAACCCAGAGGAGAGATATTTAATCTAGATTTCTTGATGCTCGATATGACTTGTGAGAGCTGGATGAGCCCAAGTGTAAAAGTTTCACATCAGCCCATGACTCAGCTGGAGGCTTATACCCTGCCCTCACGCACTGACATAGAAACTGTGCTTTATATGATGTCGTCAGAAACACAGCTGGATGCTGAGCTCTGAATCACAAAGCTCAGTTTTGTCTGTGGACAGTATTGTCTGTCCACTGAACAAACAATACTACGGTTATTAAAATGCCTTGAGATGATGTTGTCTGTTGATCTGTTTAAACCAGAGTAAAGAGTAAGATGAAAAGGAAATGTTTATTGGTAATAGATGAAGAAATAACCAGTATATATCATATTTGTAATGATGGACCACATTTTTTACAGTTATCGATCTTGTTTTGAATGCTTGTTTATTCCCGCTGTTTGTACTGTGAATCTGGTTGCAAAAATCCTCATCGTGGAACAAAATAATTTAGGTTCACCAAGTGCATGTTTGTTTGTCACCCTGTCACAGAAAGTGTATTGCTTTGAGGTATTTTGCGATGAAAAAATAGCATCCTTTAATGTCTTTAATCTAAAAAGTCTATGGTAAAACAACAAATGAAGATGACCTACAACAGTAGTCGTCTTTCTTTGTACAGCGACTTTCACAGATAATATTACTGTAAAATAAAGATTTTAAAAAGTAGGAAAGAAATGTGCTTTAATGTTTTTACACCCTTTCTAAATAAATGGCTTTTTTTATGGACGTTTAAGTCACTGGTAGAAGCCAGAGTCAGAAGATTCCACAGCCTGGGACCGTAAGAAGGTTCTGACTGGACAACCTGAGCGTGGTCTTGACAAAGTCCCACACAGCAGTCAATAATGGGACCTGTCCATGCACAGCCCCATAGGTTAGGACTAAAATGTCCTAAAATCAATTCTACATTTCACCAGTAGTCATAAAAGAGAGGACAAAATCAGAGTGATGTGAGCTGTTCATTAGTTCAAACAAATTCCAGAACTCTGACATGTTTAATCATGAAAATATAATTACAAAATATCCGGAGTTGGTTGTTCATGCTTTTTGTCTCGTTTGAACAACCAACGCCGGGTCAAGCAACAGTTTCATTTCTTTTGTGTAATTTCTGTTCCTGGTCAACTGTCTTGAATAACCCTCAGACATTCTTTGTAGCCATCTTGATCGTGGATGTAGCAGCAGCCTCCATGACCACGGCAGGGAGGCTGATGTCATGTATCTTCATATCAAAGCTTCTCTTCAGTAAATCTTCAGTTCATCTCCAAATCGAATTCATCTTCATCAGAGATGAAACTCTGCACACTGTGACTGACAGTGACAGCGAGGAAAAGCTGAATGTTGAATATATCAATAGAATAGATATGTTTTAAAGAAGACATATTACGCACAATTGACTTTAAATCATCATCATCAAACAATAGTCCCTTATCAAAAACAGACCTGTGGTTGTATGGTGATGGCATTTTTTTTAATTTGGAAGAAAAAATAAATGTAACCCCTACCTCTGGTGGTACTAGGGTGTTACAGGCGGAAAGCATGCTTTACTCTTTTTGCTTGTTTCACCAAATATTATATGCATTATGTCATGCTTGATTGTCTAACACAGGGTTTTTTCCATGCAGCTGCCAATGAGGTCCTGTTTTCTTTTGACGTTGGTAACGGCCCACTGGGAGTGCGAGTGAAGACAGACGCCCCACTGAACGACAATAGGTGGCACAGAATTCGAGCGGAGAGAAATATTAAAGAGGCTTCGCTTCACGTGGATGAGCTGCCTGCCGCCACTCGGGAGGCTCCGGCTGATGGACACATCCACCTGCAACTCAACAGCCAATTATTTATAGGTACACAAACACAGAGCACACACTGATTCAATGACAAGTCATTTGATTACCTGTTTTCTATTGGTGGCCATTCGTCAAATCTTTCCAGAAGACAAAAGTAAGATATTTGTGCGAAAGCAAGCAATGTGACTCTATACTCATGCTTCAGCTCTTGGTGTCTGTGGGCTTTCTCTACGCAAAAACAGAATGCCCTCCAGTAAAGATCCTGACCATGACGAGAAATATTCATCTGGAAGGATGGGTCGAATGCAGATGACATGTTCTCCCATGGGGATAATAAAGTGGAGAATCAAACTCTATTTATAAAGCCCATAATGTAAAAAATAAAGTCCCACACTCCCCCACCCCAAACAAAACAGATGACAACCCCAATGACAGACACACACTCTCTTCCACTTCCACTTCAATTGCTGAAAACACAAACACCCAGAGAAAACACTGGAACCTCTTGGTGGAAGTCTAAGCTCTACGAGTGCTTTCTATTTTATTTATTTGTTTATTTGAGCACAAAGATACAGCGTAAGTTTATGTAGAAAGAAAAACAGTGATTTACTAGTTAAAACTGAGTTACACTTTTGCCCATTTGACATGAGCCAATTATAATTTTGCCGCTATTATTTTGAGGGCACTCAGGTCTCACAGTCACAAATAATAACTTTTAGAGTTCACATTCTCCCTGAGAATAATAAAAATGTGTTTTTCAGTCACAGTCAGCTAGGCCAGAAGGACAAGTAAACTGTCAAGAAGACTGACAGTTCTGCAACTTTTTAGGTACCAACAATTCACAAGGTGCTATGTGAGCACACAAGCTGCCAATAAAAATTCAGCACTTTGGTGTCTTCCACCTGCTGGTTTTTGTTTCACATTGGTTTCATCACCATTTTTAGAAATGGAATGTGCCAACCGTGACAAATCTTGATTCTTGTTTAAGTGTTGAATGCAATGCTGTAAAAGTTTTATCACACCACAGTCATCTTACTTGTCACATGTTCACAGTGCAACGTGAGGTTCCCTTTATTACACACTGTAATAATCTTTATTTTTATACTCTCGTCGCTCTATTACATTGGCACAATTGGTTGTTTAACTGAACAGTCCTGTTCTTATCTTGATGTCCCTTCTGCAGGAGGCACAGCATCTCGACAGAAGGGCTTTCGTGGCTGTGTGCGTGCGCTTCAGATGAATGGGCTAACACTGGATCTGGAAGCCCGAGCGAAAATGACCCCTGGGGTGGAGGCAGGTTGTCCTGGTCACTGCACCAGCTACGGCTCCCTGTGCCAACACCAGGGCCGCTGTGTGGAACAGCCGAGCAACTTTTACTGCGACTGCTCGACTAGTGCATACACTGGGGCCTTCTGTGACCGAGGTACTGTACAACAACTCCCTTCTACTTATTTTCCATTTTACTTAAGAGATCTGCTTTGAAATGTTCCTTGGTTTTCTGTAGGACTGATGACACCATCACATAACAGGAAATGTTATTTGCAGTGCTACTAGCTGAGTTTGCCTCTATGTGACACATGGTAGTCTTAAGCTGGGCAAACACTGCGATATTTTCAATCGTTGCACTTGGCTTCAGCTTAAACTACACGAACAAAAATTGCAAGGTGCAAAAGTTCTTTGTGCACAATTTATGTTCTCACGATCCGATGCTCTTATGCGATCTGACCGCTCACATTGTACGTCAAAATTCGCTCGTCGGACTTGAAACAATGGGCGTTGCCTAGCAACACAATTTGAGACTAGCTCATTCAACCAGGGATGCTGCAATAACCACATCAACAACTACTACTGTTTAGCCATTGTGAACTTTGCTAAATTGGTAATATGCACAAAAACATGAACTTACCCGGTAACTTCAACTGAATTCAGCCGCGGTAGTGCGGGGAGGACACATAAAGGCACGGGTGAGTCTGCCAGAGTTCCACTAGTTTCTCGCCCAGAGCTTGGTCCCATGTATGAACCGCTGCATCCCTATTTGCACAGGCACAGTGCCAGAGGTGTAATATTTGTTGCTCTGCATGCTAGTTGTCATTGACAACACATGGCGTTACCTTCCAGTGTTGCTGTTTATTGCAGCCTCTGGGAATCACACAACTGCGGCCGTTCACTCGAGCCGTACATAGAGCTCAATACAACACATCAAAACTCTGTATAGCTCCGCCCACTGGCCGGGCCTGTGTGATCGTATCAGTGCATGGATCTAGTATAATATACAAGAGGTTGAGGGTAATTGGGTCATAGACGCTCATGGCATTGCTTCAACAGCGCGACACCTTCACAAGGGCCGACCATAATTTAAAAGCACTTTGAATTTTCATCCGGCCATACGATTGCCGATTGGGAGGTGGTCGTGAGAGGGTCATTGCTGCTCGTTACCCTGTGTATACTACACGATGTGAGACACACAAGTAAGCTTTAAAGTGATAGTCTGGACTTCATCAGAAAAAATAGAGTGAGTGAGTGAGTTCATGATTGTTCTATTAATATGTCAGAAAGACTAGTATCTGTACAGCTGATACTAGATCAACACAAAAGGCCTGATAATTGTGAAGTGAAATGTTACACAATTTTAGAGATAATTCTTATGCATGCAAAAGTACACTCATGAGTGAGTGCACTCATACTTTACTGAAGGTATACAAACCCCAACCTTGTGTCCAGAATACAAAAAAACCAAAGTAATCAAATCAAAAGGTGTATGGCTCAAAAATAAAGTATCCAATCAATCAACCTGGTGAGCCAGCCAAAACAACCATGGAGTGCTGACACTAAACCAACCTCTATACATAGTTCCCACAGACCAATGAATGTCACATGACCTCCTCGGAGACGCCATCTTTGATGGCACGCTGCTGTGTTTGTGCATTCCATTAAACAGAAGAATGAGAATAAATGTAGATATTCAAACGCAAATTGGAAAAAAAGGGAAACTTTTGAGCAAATAATTGTATATTAATACAATGGCACCACAGTTTAACGTGCTACGGACATGTTTTACATATTTGATCAAATTATGCAGCAAAAATTAACAAGCAATGCAAACATTTCGCAAAAACTTTAGATTTAATACCTGTTGGAGCTCCATTTAATTATTTTAATTATATTAACAATTAATTTAATTAATGCTAATGCCACACGGACACTCTGGATTGCTGTTATTGTTTATTTCCGCGTTTTTGACCGTATGTTTTGGTGAATGGTGGGCAACTGATTTTTCCAGGCGTAAAGAGCAGTTTATTTTATGACACAGATCTTTTTACAGAAGCAATGCTGTTTGTGAACATTGTTTTAGCCCACCATAGAACTATTATTATCTATTTACAATACAATACAATACAATACAATACAATACAATACAATTTATTCTTGTATAGCCCTAGGTCACAACAGAAGTCATCTCAGAGGACTTAACAAAACCATTGAAATCACCAACACAGGTCAGAGAATCAACAGTTAAAACACATGAAGAATATAAAGCACACACAGAAGAAAATGTCCATACATGTTGTAGAATGCTAAAGTGTCCTGATCATCACCAATCCTTTCTGTTGGACACTAACTGTCCAACAAGACCCTCCTGCATCGACAAGGAAAAACTCTTAAAAAACCCAGTGGGAAAAAGTGAGAAACCTTGGAGGAGAACTAGGGAAACCCACAGGGAGGGAGACCCATATGAGAAAGGGATCCGCTCCTCCGGACGGACAGGCTAATGATCTAGGACCTAAGCTAGCTACAGAACGTGGACCAGTGGACGCTGAACGTGGACAGGTCCGGTGCAGGACTGAAGCACTCCCAGGCGGGTCGGGCGGGGCAGTCCGCAGGTGTAGATGGAAGAGATCCCCTCAGAGATCCCGTCATCGTACCATGAAACAGACAATGGGACAACGGGTGAATAGCAATGAACAAACTACAGTCAGAATCCTAAAAATGCTAAACAGATAAAGTAGGTGAATTTAATACATTTACGTTGCCCTCGAGAGCCTCGGACGCGACACCGATCCTCCTCATAATAAAGTAATCTAAATAATGAAACTCTCAAGTTACCAGATATCAGCATACACAAGTTAGTACTGAGTAAATTACGTCTGTCAACACATTATAAGATACGATACGCACCTGACACAAAGTGCTCCGAGCATATTCTTGCGTGTTTTGAGGGAGTTTCTTGCCTGTTTATCTTCGCAAGCCATAACCTCCGTGGTTGTTCTTCTGACAAAAGCTTTGTCTTCTCACATTCATGAAGTCTAATGATGGGTATACTGTAAAATCCAAGTTTAACGGAACCTCCGGCACGATTTGAACATCCATTGACCCAGCAGGAGACGACCATTTTCAACTTTATCACGACATTAACACGTTTCAGCTTCTTTTTCTATTGTTTTGCCCACAGAATGCCAACACAAATGGCGCCGGGTCGGCAAATCCCCGTATGTAGTGACGTCATGTGGGAACTATGTATACAGGGCTGTCCGAATCCGATGGAGACACCCTATTTAAAGGAAAAACCAAAACCTGAATAAACCCTCACAACTGAAAATGTAACCCCTGGACCCACCAGCTCAAACTAAGTTAAGGCCAGGAAAAAAGGCTAACAAACAGCTAACCAAACCAAAACATGCCGTGTCTGGAGAGGCCGCAAATGGAGCAGGCTCACCCCAAGCAGGTGGAGCAGGAGAGACGGAGAGAGAGGGGCGGAAGCGCTTAAGGACAGCCCTACTTATACTCCCGTCCCAATATACAAAACACAGAAAAAAAATAAAGTTATTAAAAAATAATAGCCACAGAAACATGCCTATAAAGACTAACATAAAACCCAGAAAAACCTGGACAAAAACTTGAAACCCAAAACCAAGGTAAAAAGGTGCTCAAAAATAACAATTATATGAGTTAATATGTTGTGGAACCGCATTTGCAGCAATTTAAGTTTCCAGTTGGGGTACGTCTCTATGAGCTTTGCACATTCAGGAATATATAATTTTTTGTCAACAGCAGTTAGTTCATCTTGCCACATTTTTTCAATTTTTAGATTGTTTGTCTCATACAGAAGGAAAAACAGACTCAAGCAGAACAGCTAGATTAATTCTTTATCTTTGAACTGGAAAATTGGTTTGCACTTGATACTAAAAATCTAAACCTTGTACCACCCCCAGCTTTGACCATGGGGATGGTATGGTGAAGCAGTGTTCTTAGCACCCAGACCAAAAAGTTACATTTCTCCTCTGATCTTTCTACCTCCCTTCACATCTGTCCCCCGCTTGGGTTCTTGGGGCTCTATTCCAACCGAAGCTTTCTATTTGCCACTCATCCATAAGGCACAGATTTGCAGTGTGTGACTCCCTCATCTGCATATGCAGGATAGATGACCTTGGGTGCACTTGATTGTGTTTGCGAATGCATCTATTATTTGCTTCTGTTATTGTACTTACTGTCATGTCTCATCCAACCAGCTGTGGTGTTGGCAGTGCTTCACCTCTAAACAGACAAATTGCTTCAAATCTATTTGCCAATATAGATAAAAATACTAAAAATGGCACGCAATGAAATGTCGGAAAGACATTCTCAGGAAAGGAACACAATTGTCATCGACATTTTGACTGTTTGCTCCATAGACATTTACACAGTAAAGTATGAATCAATACATACAATGATATGTTTTCTGTTCTTCACAGAGGTTTCAGCCAGCTTCAAATCCTCCACATCAATTACCTACAGCTTCCAGGGGTCCGAAGACAGACCCTTGAACCATAGTGCACACTTCTCTGGTCCTTCAGACCTCAGCCTGACAGCAGAACATGTCCATGTGAGCTTCAGGACGGTCCAAGCTCCTGCTCTGCTCCTGTTTGTCAGCTCTATCCACAGGGGGCACCTGGTCCTACTGCTCAACAGACAGAGTAAGCTGAAATACTTCATATCAGGTGTCTGATTCTTATCCATTATGCAGCGAGTAAATGTGGCTGTGGGTGATATTTAAAGCATGTTTGTGAGCCCCCTTACTGGGGCAAGAAAATCTGAAATCCAATTGGGACTTTTCTGGTTAAATAAAGATATAGAAAAAGTGAAGGTATTGTAGAAAATGAAGCAATAATTGTTTATATTATTTCTGACACAAATAATATGTAAAATCTCTCAGGTCAAGCATACAAATGGCTTTCTATGAATCATGCAATTTGAAACAAGGTTGGTGCATGCAGGTGGGTGCTGATAGCCAGCGGTCATCAAGAGTTACCATGGTAATAATGTGAGAGTCCGCGGGTGGCTGTTTTTAAACTGAGATTCCCCATTAAATTCTGTCTACCTGGAACAGGTTATTTGTGTGATAAAACCATTCTTCAGAAAAATAGAGCTTGTTTCTTATTTGTAAAAAGAAGTGCAACCATAAAGCCTGTATTTCTGTAGGAGTAATACATTTTTAATAAAATTCTTGTTTTGGTAAGCACTTTGAGTTGACTGTGTATAAACTGCGAACTATAAATGCACTTGCCATGCCTTGTCTTACATACAACATGTGTGTCTAGGTAAAGTGGAGGTTGTCTATAGACTGGACAGTAGCAGAGTCAGTGAGGTGCTGAGGAGCAGAGTGGGGAATCTGGCCAATGGAAATCTTCACAGTTTAACTCTCAATCGAGATAGAGACCGTGTCACTTTACAGGTAAAAGTATTCAAGAATGCCAGGAGTGTTTTTTGTACAGCAGTCATGAATAATAATCTGTTCTATTTTTTTTGTGTTCCATTTTCCTGGCATTACCTGTATTTAGATCGATCAGAACATGGTGGAGCACTTCAACCTTACCTCTGATGTGGAGTTCCATAGCCTCCAGTCAATCATTTTGGGAAAAGTGCAAGGTATTTGAAGTAAACGGGAAAACAACAAAGGCGCTAATTTATGCAAGTCTTAAGGTTATCTGGTTCTTCTATACCGGACAATAATAACTACGTTATGTTATTACCTTAAAATGTTTTGATGTACTTCTGTGCTTAGATGCTTCTGAGGAAAACAGAAGTATAGGAGGATCTTGGAGTGACGTCGTTGTTTATAGTTTTTCCGCGCCAGTCACGTGACCGGGTGCCAGAGAGTTCGCTATTTTTAGACGTTTGGAGAGAGGTTTTACTAAATCATATGGTCCATTCTTGTTGTGTGGTCGGTTGTACGGCCCGCTGGGGACATTTTTTTCTAATTCTTTTGGAAAAGAACAGCGAAAAACGGCTGCGGTAAAGTGGTTGGCCTTTTATGCTGTTACCTACGGTAAACGTAGAACGGGAAGCCGGGGGGGTTAAACAAATTTAAGTTTTGCAACTACTTTCACTTCGCACTACTGATTAATTTTAAACATTGCATTTTGGTTGCTCATCCCCACGGCTTCCTGTTCCACCTTTACCGTAAGTAACAGCAAACAGGGGCAACCCGCTTTTAATGTGTGGCGAAATGCTGGGCCACTTTACCGCGGTGAAAAACGCAAGAAATGGATTCTCACCACGGACCCTTCTTGAAGGGTCCTGGGTTTTCTCTGAAGTAAGAATAAATGTCTCTGAGTCCCAGTCCCAGCAGATCGGTGCCAAGACAGAGGTGAGTCTGACCAATGTCTTTTCACATCATCCCAGGTCTCATCTGGGCTTTGAATTTGTTCAGTTCGGTCTCATATACTTATTTTTAGCTTGTCTTTATATCTCCTCTGATCTTCTTGCGTTAAAGTGCTCATATACAGTGCTATTCGCCCACTCTTTTAAAAGTACTCGTCACATCCATGCTTCAGTATGTACCGCTCTGTCTTGTTGCCACCCAGCGAGGGGCACATGCGCACGCGGGTGTAAACAAAGATCCTCCTATACCGTCAAAACATCCATCCATCTTCTCTCGTTTCATCCGTTGCTGAGTCGCAGGGGCTGCAGTCCAAGCAGAGACGCCCAGACTTACCTACCTACACACCTCCTCCAGCTCATCTGGGGGGACCCCAAAGGGCTCTCAAGCCTGCTGGGAGACATGTCCCATGTCCTGGGTATTCCCAGGGTTTCCTCACGGTAGGAAGTGCCCAGAACACCTCCCTAGTGAGGCGTCCAGGAGGCATCCGGAGTAGATACTTGAACTACTTGAGGAAGGAGCTCTCCACCCCCCTGGAGTGGGCAAAGCATCTTTTTACGGTTGAGCACCATGGCCTCCGATTTGGAGGTGGGGATTTTCATTCCAGCCGATTTACACTAACCTGTCCCAGTGACGTGTGGCTGGAGGGGGGCCGTCAAAACATGTCAATGTAATAACATCGCTAACTTGCCTGGTATAGAAGAACCAATAAACCTCATTCTACTAAGGAGACAAGATGAACCTTCCTAAACTATTATAAAAGTCTTACTTAATTTCCTTTGTTGTTATTAGATACTACGGAGCTTGACCCAGAGTTGGCCCGAGTAGCTTCTGCTGGTGTCACCGGCTGCTTGTCCTCAGTGCTTTTCAACACCATTAGTCCTCTAAAGGCAGCTCTGCTACATCCAGACACCAGTCCTACCACTGTGTCCGGTCCCTTGGTCCAGTCCCGCTGTGGCTCCCCTTCAGGGGGTTCTCCTGCGGCTGAAACCACCCACACCCTGTCAGGTAGCAGAACACTTCTGCTTTAAACACTCAATCGTTCATGGTTTTTGATGTTAAGATTGTGTTGCTCGCAGGCCAGTCTGGATCAGTGGAAATGGGTCAGCCTTTAGTTAATACTGTCAAGAAGGACTCTGCACTAATTGGAGGTACAGCACTGTTGTATTTTATCTCGGGACTGTCTTCCTCATTGAATCACCTCATTTGAAACGTATTTTGTGCTAAATTAATTTTAGATAATTACATACAGGACTGCCGTGGTACATAGATATGCAAACATGTTGTTTTTTCCTTTGCAGGTGTAATAGCCCTGGTGATCTTTGTGACCCTGTCTGCCTCAGCTATAATTGCCCGGTTCTTATACAGGAGGAAATGGATGTGTCGGAGTGAGGATGCGAAAACGGTCAAACCAGATGACTGCCCAGAGTTGCCTTTCAGCAGCCACAACTCTCAAAGCACAGGTTCAAGTGAGAACCAGAAGGAATATTTTATTTAACCCATAGCTGATCATCTTCTGACCCCATTGCGTTGGAGGGCAGAGAAGCAGGCCTCAGAGCTCCATCGTGCACTGTTGCACAGATCTGATCTCTGAACACATTGGGAACATCCACACTTATTTGGTGTTTTTTTCCCAGGGTTGTATTTTTTCTAATGACTCAACTGTAAAGATGCACAGAATGAGTACTATCATGAGTACAATATTCTTTGTGCACTTGTAAATAGTACCTGAAAATGTCCAAAGTTACACTTTGTATCTTGAACTGTCTGACTAAAAGAGTGATTGTATTTAAAGGAAAAGTGGATGTCCATTTATTGTTTTGAGGACTGGATGTGCCTATTTGCAGTGTCCAACAGAGAAAATAATAATGAATTATGAGAATTGTATAGACGCCCCCTGGCTCTTTTCAAGCAATCAAATGTACAGTTTGGAGGCTGCGTGCACTTGTTCACATTGAACGTAAATTACATTTGTTTCTTTCTATAGCAATGGGTTTTTATCTTTGAAATTCTACCTGTTCTGTTGAGAGCCACATAATTAACCAGAATTATGAAAATATCATTTTCCTAAACTGCTCTTATTGCTTATGATCTCCGTTCAACCAATATTAAATGTGTACCACAGGAAAACTAAAAGTGTGTGCTGATTGTTCTCGATGGTATTACTGTGTATAGCCGGTCCACGAGGCTATTTGGATGCGAGTGGTGGAGTTGTTTCACAGCTTGGCCGTGCATTTAGCTCTACGAATGTGCAGCTGTTTGATGTTCCTCTTAGATGTGTGCCTCCCGCTGTTACACCTAGGATGAGTAATGGATGAATATGACTGACCTGCAGACCCATGCTTTGTCAAACAGCCTGGTCCGCCTCATACCGCGTTGGCCAATCTCATTCTTGGTTGAACATGGCTTGCAGCTGCCCATTCAAACACAGCAAACTGCCATTATTCATTTCTGTTGTAGAATTGGTCTCTGTTACCAAATACTGTTCATTAGGAGGCTAAATTATGACTAAATAAACGCCAACATTGTCCTCCTTTTACATAATTAAATGAACCAAGAGTGAGCCTTATGTTTACCATATAGTGATTTTTTTATAATCAAATCAAGACAACATGTGCCAGGGATTCTGCTTAGTTAAGGCCATGTTAAGACCATGTAATTACAATTGTTCAATTACAATCAGGCTTTTTCAAATAAATCAAACCCAAAAACAGACCATTTTGTTTGTGCTTTCCACATTTTTTGCCGATGGTTTTCTATGGTTAAAAGTAAAAGACAGCATGACAAAATTAGATGTACCAAGGGTTTAGCTATACAGAAGTCTTATTTTTTGTCTCGAGTATTCCCGATAAACATTATGAATATTGAAGGCAAACAATATATTGACATCTCTTCTTAAAACAGTATGTGGTCTAGATAATTAACGGACAAAATTCTGCTTATATTTTTTAAGACCTGCATTGACACAAACTACTCACAAACCTCCAAACTCTGGTCTAAGCTGGCACAGCGATGCAGAGCTCCTCTGCTCGCTCCCTCCTGTTCATCCATCATACTCATGCCGCATAATGCCCACAGAATATGAATGTGACGTTTATTGATGTTTAACAAGCTCGGAGCCATGTGTCTGGGATGCCGCCCTTGTAAGTGCTGGAGCAGTGACAGATGTAAGCTGTCTCAGTGGGCCAAGGTGCTAGAGGTGAAATGGTCCAGACAAACTCCCCATGACTCACAGCTCCTGGCTCCTGCACACCTGCCCCAGCCTGGCCCAGCCTGGCAGCAGATGGTTTGGTCATGTGCCCAGGAAAGTAGGGAACTTCAGAAACGCACTTTGAAAACACTTGGTACCTCTTCACCTGATTAGACAACTGTAAAGCCTCGTTTCATCACCACCGCATCGCTGCTCTATTGTTAATAATCAGCTGCATGAGTTTTGTAAAACCACTGCAAAAAAATATTTAAGACCACCTTCTTATCAATTCAAGATGTATGATTTTTTCATTTAATGGTAGTAAACGGATTTTATAATCTTAATTTTGACCTCGTCCCAACAATGACTAGAAGTAGTCGGGGGCAGCGTAAGTGTTGGAGCTCTCCAGTGATCAAAAATTAAATGTCATTATTATTCTGTAAATGTAGATGGAACTGACTTGAAGGTCACACCTGCATGTGGAACTGAGTAAGTATGGTAAGTATGGGGATGTGGAAACAACATACAAGTGGAGGAAATCTTAAACGTGATTTTTTAGAACTTCATAACGTCCAGTATTCAAATTACACTGCAAGGATGATCTCTCTCCGCACTGTTGTGCAGCTGCTTTGTTCTATCAGGAGAATATCAAAACAAAAGTTCTCGTCATAGGCGTTGGTGAATAATAGATCCTCTGGGATGTGATCCCAGCGTTGGTGGGTTTGACAGAGTGGAGTAGTGAAGTTGGAGTCTGTGGGGTGTGGCGAGAGATGGTGACAGGCTGAGTGCAGTTCAAAGACTCAGCATTTCTGAAGTGAAGAATTACAGACAATCTGTGTTGGTATTACTGGAGTTTAGCGGTGATGGCAGATTATACATAGGCTTATTACCCCCTGTTTAATTTGGCAGGAGAGACAGGGACCAGAGAATGTAGGAAAAACTATGGATTATAATGGAATGTTGACAGCCAAGCTTCATGGAGTAACAAAGCCAACAGGAAGATGTCATAAATACATAGGCTTGGATTGATTTGTTCAGTAAATTTTAGTTTTCATATTGGTTGTGAAAAGTGCAATAAACAAAAACAAAGAATATTAGATATGTAGCTGACGCATGTTATCAGGGTAGTATAAAAAAACACCACCAAACTTAAATTACCTTTTTTTGTGTAATCACCATGGTTTTTTGTTGTGGCGAGTTGAAGTAAACAACCAAATGATGGTGAGATTAATTGATTCAGATCCTGTTGTGGCTGCAGGCCTGTCAGCCAAGCATGAATTTAATTAGGACGCCTGGCTCATCTGAGTGAGAAAACAATTGGCCCCAATTTGTGTTGCTTTGGAATCTAAAGTGTGTCCATATAGTGCCAAGTGGAGAGGGCAGAGGATGCACTGTGCATGGAATTATTCAGGAATTCTGGTTCTCATTTGCAGCCAAAGTAGAAATTCCAATTTCGGTGTCCAGTCTTGAGGCACTGATAATACAAGGCTTAAACAAACTCACTATTAAGAATTGGGAGCTAGCTGTGTCTCTGATTTCCTGGGTTATATATATATATTTTTTCTCCTGCTGAAGTTGCCAATGCCCTGCAGAGTCCCTGCAATATCAAGAGACTTCTAACGCTCAAATTATCAGCTGTGAAGAAGTGGTGCTGGGTGACATGGTAGGCACTGAAATTGTGTTTTTCTCATACTTATCTGTTCTGTCGAGCCAAACAAATCTATTGCCTGCTCTACAAAGAAAAACAATATTACAACCAATTGTCCATATAACTTAATAGGAGGGGTTTCCTACAACATAACCTTATAATTATGTGTACAACGTTGGTCCTTTGTGATTTATTTTCCATTGAACACAAAATATTTCATACAGAGGTTTGAATACCCCAGTAGAGTAGATTGAATGAGTTGGTGACATCATTCCCAATATAAAATCCAGTTTGAAATAAACTATCTTGCTTTTTGTATTCTTTTAAATGTAGGGACATCATCTCAGTTTGACTCAAAAGTCATCATCAAGTCTTAAGTCAGAGCTCAGGGGGAATTTACTTAAAACTAGACAGTCCATTCATTCTAGAATATGACAAGAGTCCACATCTCTCAGGAAAATAAGAAAAAGGAGCGTTTTGTGATTTGCAGTGATTCGTCACTGTCCGGCAGAGTTCAACACGAGGAAAACAGTCATCCATCAAAGCGCTGTAGCTCACTGGACACTGGCTCTGACCTTCAACCATAAAAAGCTTTATCCATGTATTACAGCATGTGCCACTGAATAATTACACCCTGATGTGAAGCACCTTTTGCACTATACCCACGGCTGCCTATAAATATCAGGTTTGATTTGGAATCAAGGCAAAAATGATTATATGCTGAGTGTAAGCGCAATGTGTAGGAGGTGGCTGTGATGAGGGTGGAAAAGAAAACTTAAATGCAGAGCTGTCATAGAGAGAAACCCCCATCTGTGCTGGTAATGAATATGTAGGGCTGGAAATGTGACATTCAGAAGAACATGCTGTCAAAACACAATGTGCTAAATGCCTTATGATATGTAAATGATACAAGAGACAAGTGCAAAGGCGGCACCTGAAAGCAGTCTCCAACATTATAGCCCAGTGCCATTATAGCTGCATTAGAGGAAAAGATGTTTGAAAACGCAATGTTGTGATTTGAAGAGCAACTGCAGGGGTCAAGTACAATTTGTCTGGAAACTATAATAACATCTGGCATCTATTCAGCAGCTTATGGTAGCGAGTTGAGTTGATGGATTTGCAATTAAAATGCTGAGTGAGTTTTTATCATTTCGCTGAGTTGAAAAGAGTAACCAATATTGACGCTCGAATCTCTAAATGATATTTCCTTTATTAGCAACGTCACTGCCCATTTTCTTAGCAAGACTGTTGATCGGCCCAGTGTTTTATGCCATAATCATGTAGAGTTGTGCACAATTACACTTGTATCTTCATGTAACCGTGAAGTGCATTGTGACCCTGGTTTGTGAAAAGCGTTGCATAAATAATAATAATAATAATAACAATTATAATGCATTGGTTTTATATACCACTTTACAGGGCACTCAAAGACGCTGTCTTGAGTGTCATTATTCATTCACTCCATACACGGTGGTGATAAACTACTACTGAAGTCACAGCTGCCCTGGGGGACACTGACAGAAGCGAGGCAACCAGTATGTGCCTCTGACCACCACCAACCATTCAAGCACACATTAGACTCATTCGAGGCAATGTAGGTCACTTGGAACTTTACGGCCGTAGCCGCCGCAATGTAGCACCTGGTGTTCCCAGAGGTCTC